TCTTTTATATCGAAACTCTTTGTATAAACACTTTTAGAACTTAAATTTCATTTAATTTGCATATGTGCTTATGTTTTTTTTTTACTAATATTCATTTGTTGATTAATATTTTTCTTATTTATTTAACAGTTTAAATTATTTTTATTAATTTTTTTTTTTTGATTGAAATAAAAACGCACCGCGCCGAGCGCAGCAATAACCTGCGTGCGCAAACTCTCTCGGAGAACTAAACTCGATTTCTGACGCCATTTTTGCTGACAGATCCAATTTGAAATTGTTTCGCTATTTGTTTATATTCTGCTTCCAATGGAATTTTTTCTTATTAACTGTTTTTACTTGGTTTTATAGGCTCAAAGAGAGTAAATAGCTAACTAACACAACCATTGATTAAGTCGTACACGAATTTAATTTATTGTTGGCAATGCTTAAATTGAATATTTATATTAGAGTATTAAAGACAAGTGAATTAATAATTTTGCAATTTATTATTATAACAATATATTTAATAAGAGATTTTTTGGTAATAATATATCATGAGAATAATGCTACAAACTAAAATGATAATCAGTAGGGGATGCTTATTAACATAGAGAAGCTATGGGCATGCTGAAAGGAGTTATTACAGCTTACTATAGGAGTGCAAAATTAAAAATATTATGGAAATAAACAGATTTCTTATAGATGCTATTGAAATTACTATTGAGACACTAACAAATAATAAAATAAATTAATAAATTCAACTACTATAACTAACCAACTATTTTATTACCATTTACTCCTTTGTAAAACTTTTTCAATTCTATACAGAAAGACTTTTTAATCCATTATCTGTCAGAGAAGCATTTTTTTTATTAATATAGTATACACTTTTTGAAGAACATACACAAAGCGAAGTACAAATTAAAAAAAAAACTAAATATATATATAATGTTTAGGCATATTCTATTGAATTCAAATAATTTGGTTGTTCAATAACTTCAATTATACATTGATATATTATTGATATGTAATATTGATAAATATAATATTGATGTATTATGATAAATTATTAAACAAATTTTAAACAAATAAAGCCTTAGCAGATTATATCTCTTATAATTTATATATATTATTTTCTCTATATCAAATCTCTAACAATATTTTTATTCTGCTTCAAATACTAATTTCATAAAAGTTGGCAACAATGTTAATTTTTTTTTCAATTCTTTGTGCTGATCACAAATATTTTGGCCAAAACAATTTCCAAGTAAATCATGAGCTGTTCTCTGATTTCGGCTCTCTCTCAAACCAATTGGAAATGCAAATAAGTCACCACCAGAGCTTGACTCTAAGCCATTTGAGCATTTGCTCACAATTTTTGTTTCCAGTTTAGAAGAAGCAACGTTCGTGTTAAGACGTATTTTCGCACATTTGAAATTTTAATATTGTTTTTTCATTTTAGTTATTTATTCACTTTTGGCTTTTGTTATTTCTCTTTAAATACTTTTTGTTCGTACTCTCACTACCACAAGTTAATAAAAATATTTGTTTGGTGATAGAAGAATTCGTTCACCTGTGAATGTTGTGAATGAAATAAAAGAAAATTGTTAACAAAACAAAAGCGGCATAAAGTGTGACGTCACACAATTGACATGAAAATGATCGGGAGTGATTATGTTTTGGAAGCGCACAATATTTTTCACACCACCGAGGTTCGTATAAGACCCAAATAGAGATATTTTATTTTTTAATATTAAATTTTGAAATATCGGAAATCATATTTATTTTATAAACTAGTAATAATTTTATATAAAATTTATTAAAGAGGTTTTTTCGAACAGTAGTGAACTACAACAACAAAAATTCATTTTATATTATTTTAATTAATTGAATTTTTGGCTGACCATACAGCTGTTTCGAGTATTGCCAAATACCCATCATCAGTGGTCTTGGAAATAATTCTTGTATTTAATTATTCGTAAATGATTATTTTTGAGAGTGCAAGTAAAATTTATTCTAATACATTATTATATTCTTAGTGAATATTAAATATATAAGGAAAAAATTTCCTTTTCTAAAAGGAAATATTTTTTAAACTCTTAAAGGAACATACATAGATTAAGACTAAGTTAAAACTTAATAAGTAGAGAAAATAAATCGCGAATAATGAATATAACTACTAATAATACACATATATTATACCATAAAAAATGGTCTCGATTACACATCATACTACATAGTGTTAATAAATTAACAGAAAGTATCAAATATTCGTAATTATTAAGGAATTAATTAATAATTATTAAGATTTTTTTTTGCCACTCAAAATGTTCGTCTCTATTACTCTTAGACATATAATAAAAAATTTGTTAGACTTGATTGCTAAAAGCAAACAAAAATTTAAACATTTTATTAAATGTATATAAGTTAAATAAAATTAAGAAGTCCATTTAGACGTATATAATTCGATATAGTATAAAAATATCGTCCACTATCATTCTTAGCTGTTACATTTGTAGATCAGAGTTTCCTTTATAATATAGCTCCAAAATATAAAGTAATACAATTTCGAGGTTCATGACTCTTAAGTCCGCATATATTGCATTCAGTCATTGATTATAGGATCTTCCTCTTGTTCTGGAAGTATTTTATTTTACTTTAAGATACATTTCTACAGCACAACCTTTTCTGACGGAGATACAAGTTCTTCCGAACACACAAGAAGTGAAAACAACTATAATGAAGGAGACGAAGAAGAGGAAACGGGAAGAAAAAGAAGAGAAACCCTTGAAGAAAATAAAAGTGAATGCGGAAGAGGCGATCAAGAAAGCTGAAATCTTATCAACGAATTGCAGTCATATCTCGATTCTCTTAATGATTTTGGCGATGTGGACACCGGATTACCTAATTCATTGTGTGACAACATTGGAAACGATGATCCCTTTGGCGCTGAAGGCGAAACAATACGAAGCGAAAAGAGTTATTTATACATTGATGGGTTACACTCAGTCAATTCAGAAAATAATGATGGGCCAAAAGAAAGAATTAGGAAAGTGCTCTTTAACGTATTTAGTACAAAGTCTCTTAGGTTTCGAATCGTCCACGACATTTACCGAAACGACCATAACTATAGAAACATCGGATTGGATCCTGAACAGTTATGCAGAAAATTTTCAGGGACCATTTTGCTCATCTCGCACCATCTCATCTCAAGTTTTCGGGTAATGTACTCAAGGCATTATCATATGCTTTGACAAGATGGATAAGCATTCTATTGTTAGACAAAGTAATAGTTTTATTTTGAGACAATGTTCTTGCTTTCAAGTATAAATTTCTTTTTGCTCTTATTGATCAGTAACCTAAATATTTTAAGCATATATATTATTTAAACATTTTTTCTAACTGGTTTAATAAATGTTACTGGCGAATATCGTTTAAATATGGTATATATATACATTACATCTTATGCGGAAAAATTCGTTAATCAAATCTCTAACTAGTCTTATATCATTGTTACAATTGTTAATCAATATATAAGAGTCGATAAACAAACTACAAAATATATAGTATACACATATCCAAATTTTAGGTCGACGGTGGTGGATGTTTTAATGGAGGAGGAAGTTCGGCTCTTGTGCTGAAAGGAGTTAATCTGACTGTACACAGTGGTGAAGTTATGGCTATATTAGGCTCTAAAGGTATATAAAAATTATAATAAATCATATATTTGTAATACTTAATGTAAATTTCATTTATTTAACTTTATTATAACATTAAATTTGTATAGGTAGTGGAAAACGTGCATTACTTGATGTTATATCAAGCCGTGCAGATGGTGCTACGCGAGGTCAAGTACTTCTGAATGGATCACCACTTACAAAAGGTCTCTTTCAACAACGTTGTGGATATGTTACTCAGTCTTGTACATTTATACCAGGTCTTACAGTTGCTCAAACTCTACATTACACACCTACAATCGTAAAAAACTATTGAATAAAATTATTATTTTTTTGTATTAAGTCTGTCTATATATTTTTACAGCTATCCGGGTATCTGAAAAGCTCAAAAGTGCGTCAAGTGTTAGCTGATTTAGCATTATCACAGGTTGCTCATAAACGTGTTGAATACTTGAATATAAGCGAAGCTAGACGTTTATCAATTGGAATTCAATTAGTTCGTGATCCCGGTAAACATAATTAATGTATACAGATATAAATTTATATTATATAATATTTTTAATACCATACTTAAGAAAAAACTATCAAAGTTTTTGAGCACTTATTAGAAAAAAAAAATTAAATTAAATAAAGGAAATGAGTTACAAAGCAGTCAAGTAAAGAATAATATATTAATTTTTTATATACCTATAGTTTATATATAATATTTTAATTATTTATATTTTATAGTTATGCTTCTACTAGATGAACCCACACAGGGCTTAGATCCATTAAGTGCTTATTTGCTCATTTCGATACTTTCGAATACCGCTAAGAAGACTGGTTGTGGCATTTTACTTTCCTTGGAGAAACCACGTTCAGATGTTTTTCCTTTCTTAGATCGTGCTCTCTTCCTTTGTTTAGGTGGCGTAGTTTACTCAGGTGGTACACGTGCTATGCTGGAATATTTTCATGGCATTGGTTTTCCATGCCCACAGTTGGAAAATCCATTAATGTATTATTTATGCTTGTCTACAGTTGATCGTAGGTATGTTTAAATATAATTACATACCCCGATATTATGTGATTACGTTTTAGTAAATTTTCAGTTACTAATAAAT